CATCACATCTCTGCTAGACTGCACAGGGAAGGGTGGGAGGCACATTATTTCCACAGGATGAAATAAAAAAAAGAAAGACTACAAATAATTGCATAGCGATAGCAGCACAAAGAGATCACGGCTGCGCAGAGCAGGGGTCAAGAAAGCAGCRGTAAAATTCAGCAATGAGAGGTCGTTACTACTCCTCAATACACCCTGGGGTACTGCTGGGTATCTGTTCTACCTTGCCGTGGTGGAGGTGCCCACACAGAGTCACATTGCGAATTAGCTCCGAGTTATCCATCAGATCTGCCAGGAAACTGGAGGAATGAAACACAAAAGACTGTTAGAGGATTCTGATGAAAAGCAGAGGCCGTTTCCATCACGCTTTCTCTCCAAGGTCTCCACCTGCACCCTCTCCAAGCTTTCATTCTGCCAGTGCCCTGCGGAGGAAGAATCTCACTTTACAGATGGGGCGGGTAAGAGAGTTGGAGCCCTAGCCAGATGGCAGTGGGTGGGAGGAGAGTTGGTAAAACTGCTCCTGGTGAAATATTATTAAATATCTTCCTTCTCTTGCAGTCAATAGAGGAAAAGTCACATCCGTGTGTTCAGGCGATGAAACACTTCCACTCAAGCAGCAGCCGTTAGTAAAAAGAGTTGGAGAACAGGCACCCCAGGCAGCTTTCAGAAGCAGCCAGAGGGCTCCGCAGACCTGATTTTTAGCAAASTGTAATAACGTTCCTGAGGGCTTAAGGAAACAATGTTGGAGCTTAAATCTCTTCAATCTCCCTGCAATCACAACTGAGCAGGTAATGATGGGCTGGTCACTTCTAAGCAAATCCTGGGGGAACATAACTGAGATCCTCAATTCGCCAACCCTCTAAGGAGAATGGGAGGCTACACAACAAGCATCAGGTACCACAGGCCTGTGGAAAAGAAGTCCTGCCCAATAATCCCTATTTGAAAAGATTCTGTATTTTAGTCACGCAGCGGACTTTTGCTGTTAGCCATTTAACATGCAACGTTTTCATTAGAAGATAAAAAATACAAAAATCAATGGCAATGTAGATTAAAAGCTTGCCAATTGGTCTCAAAGTAAGGCTAAGTGGGAAATCAATAGCAAGATTGCATGTTCCTGGTTAAGGGTCTTCCTCTGGGCCCCTTGCTAGTCATTTATATCAATGAAAGGGAAGAAGAAAAATCCATTCAATGGAATGAGCAGAGAACAAGGACCGCAGAAGTGGCACAAAAGAAAAAACACAGGTCACCAACCAAGAGCAAAATGGATCATTTGGATAAATAAGATCAAGCCTGCTCACTGCTTTATAGCTGCCTTCACTGAAGACATCTCTGARCAAGGAACCCTGGGGACAGAGCCCGGCAGTAGCTACTTCCAAAAGGTCCTGGGGAGCTCCAGGAAGAAGGAAGGAAATCCAGAGAAACAAAACCTGCCTCAGGTTCCAGGATTAATGCTCAGAGACTACAAAACCTTGGAAAAGGCTGAGATTGGCCATGAAACGGTGCAGGGGTTTGGAGGATGAGCCTAACAGGACACGCAGCTCAAGCTGTTCATCTTCAAACAGAAGAAAACATATAGAAAACAAAACAAAAAACTATAAATGTGATGATCAAGAGCCCCTCTACCCATCAGCAAAACACAGTTTTAAGAGAGAAGGTTAAAAAAATGCTTTTAGATAAAAAAAAATGAGATAGAATAGTTCAATTTTAAAAAATGTCAGGATTTTTTTTGAGAGGTTTGCTCCCAGTCACTGCTTGGTGGGGTGCAACAAGCAGACACTCGCAGGTGCAGCTTAGCTCCAGCCTCATATTAACCCCCACACAGCATGGGGGTGAGAGACAAATCCCGCCTGGAAACTCCTCCCGTAGACAGGAACGGATGGGATGCAGCCACAGGCTGCTGTTCACTGAGATCAAAGCAAAATGTCCCCCCTGGCTGTATCAGAAGGAAGCGGCTGTATAAATATTTCCTGAGTCTACTGAAAAAAGTTGCTTTCAGCAAACCCAGCCCAGAAGTGTTTCCAGCTGCCAAGCTTTCCATCAGCTGTCGAGATGATAAACGATTTAAGCGGCAGAGAAAGAAATGCTCTACACTGTGCAGGGAAAATATCTGTAAAGCCTCCTGACTCCTGTGCCTTCTTCCTCTTCGTTCTGGATCCAAGCGGAGGAGGCAGCTGCACGCACAGCTAAATTGCTGGTGTCGGAAGAGAGAAACCCAAAGCTGCCCCTCAGCGCTCTCCTCCGCGCTCGCGCAGCCCTCTCTGCCTCCAGCCTCTGCCTGTTGTTTACAGGCAGCCAGGGAGCGGCAGCACAGGCGGATCGAGCCAAAGCACAAGCTCCCAGCCCTGCCCGTTACTTACTCCATCTCATAGACGGTGACCGGTAACGTCTGTTCCATCAGAGAGAATTTTTTTGTTTTCACGGGTTTAATAATAGGCTCTGTAAACAAGAGAAAGTGCAGTAAGAATTGTTACCCGTGACCCTGAACAGCAGTGTTCTCAGAAACTCTCATACCAAACAGGGATTTTTTTGGCAGATAGAAACACAATTTTCAGGCTGAGAGATTGTTTTCTTTTGTCCGGGAGAAACAAATGAGATGATTTAAATGTGTTTTCCCATCTCTTTAAAATAACCTTCCGGCCCCTACCGATGTCTGTTCTTCAAAGGACACTTTGGTTTCTGTTTGCAGCAATGCAGAGTGCCAAAATCTGGGCACTGCCAGACTAGTAGGAAGGGTTTATGCATTTTAGAGGCCATGAGGGTTTCTAAGAGGGGTGTTAAAAATTGATGAGGGGTGCAAACAGGAAAACTCTTGGCCTTTTCCAAAGCTGTGCTAAGAGTTTTTGTGCTCCGAAGCCAGCTCGCTGCCTTGCAGCCTCACCAGTGAGAGGCTGCGTGTCCTCCTCCTGCACGATCGTCTCCACTTCGGGCCCGTAGACCTCCTCGGCGGTGGGGTAGTACTTCTTGTCCTCGTGCAGCACCACCTCCATCCCCGGGTGGTCCTCGTCRTGGTCCCCCATGTCATCGTCATCGTCGTCATCCTCGAGCTGCAACCGACACTCGTGTTCAGCCGCTGCCRCCCCGCAGGCCGCGGGGATGGCTTAGGGCCATTAATCTCCACAGAAAGTCTTACAAGAGCAGCCTGGAAGGGGCWGGGATCCCCTGGAAGGGGCTGGGGCCCTTGGAGCCCCTTGGTGCCGTGGCCCACCCGCCCCTGTGGGCCCCTCGGGTCCGTCTGTGCCGGCCTCCAGCAGCCCCCCCCACGCCCTTCCCTAGGGATGGGGATCCCCACGATGCTGCCGGAGGAACCAGGAGGCTCCACTGCGGGACACRGCTCTTCCGGCTGACCACAAATGGAGTCAAGTGTCACCCGCGCTCCCCAGGCCCCTGCTGCAACAGGACCAAGCAGAAYGGGTTTCTTTATCTCTCGGGACTGCAGTATCTGCTGGGGCTTTTTAGATCGACTCTGACGCTCTGGGAYAAAGCGGGGCTAAGGCAGCAGCGCGGCCGGGGCGGGGGCTCGCGCGGGGCCGCAGCCCGGGGCCGCCGCCCCTCACTCGCCTCGTCCAGGTCCTTGGCCTCCCTGCCCAGCTCGTCGTCGTCGTCGTCCGAGTCCAGCTCCGGCCCGATGTAGTTCCCGAACTCATCGTACAGGTCGGTGTCCATGGCTGGGGACACGGGACACGATCACACCGGGAAGGGGGGGCTGAGGCCGCACCGGGCCGGGACCRCCGGGACCCCGAGAGTGCAGCCCCGGAGCAGCCGAGCCAGACCGGACCCGAACCTGCACCTAGACCCGAACCTGAACCCGAACCCCTATCCCGGACCCGAACCCCCATCCCGATCCCGGGCCCGGACCCGGACCCGAACCCCTATCCCGAACCCGCACCCCTATCCCGGGCCCGGACCCCGCTCCGCTCCGCTCACCCGCCGCGCGCTGCCCTCGCCGCCCGCGCCGCGCGACACCGGGCCGGAAGGACCCCC